AATCACTTGTGTGTACCTTGAATTATGATGGTAGGATAAAAAAATGTTTTGTTAGCTGGTTAGTAGATTAGGAGTTGAGTTGCTTTTAGTGTTCACTTGAGTACAGTACAACCCACTTAGTTTAATGAGGTGTAAAAGTCATGGAGCAGTGTGTATTCTGTGAAGCTTGCTGCAATATGTAACTACACTTAGTGGTTCTTAAGACAAATATGTTTAGCTTTCAAGACTTTCCATAGTAGCTGCTGCCAGTTTTGCAGGCATTCCAAAAGAAAGACTTTACAATTGATTTTACAAGGTCAGTTCTATATTTTTCACAATTCATCACTTGAGTAAATAATTCTTGAAAAGCCTATCTTCCTTGATGGTTTAAAACTTAAGATGTATAATTAGCTAGAAAAGTGTTACTATATGAGATTTCTTACATTTCCTTCATAAATCATGCTAAGAGCTTTGAGTATGGTTAAAATACTGCTGATACTGTCACTTAGCAGTAATGTTCATGAAACAACTCTGATAACAAAGTCACTTTGTTAAAAAAAGGCAAGTTTTACAGGAATGTTTCTGCATTTGAAGTTGTGTGCTTGCTTTGGTAAAATACCCAATTTTTCGGTCTCACAGTGTGCACTTTGCTGTGTTTGATCAGTTCTGTATATAGCACGGTAGCTGTAGTATTAAAAAAACTTAAAAATGATGTATTATTTTTGCAAGTGTTCTTTTTCTCTTTTAGTTTACAGGATACTGTGCTGTATGTGGTGGCATTTAGAAGGAAAGGACTAAATCACTGTATACTACATGGTAATTAAACCTTTGGTGCTCCTTGCTTTAAATAAGCACTTGAAAGTTTGAAGTTTTCAGGAAAAAAAGTGTCAAGCTTCTGATGGAAGTCGGCAGAGTATCTGGGACTTCTGATGCACAACAAGGCAGTGCTGTATGTTCTTCCAGCAGAGCATTACCAAATTGGTATGTGACAGCAGCCTTATTGTAGGTTGGCTCAGGGCACGTTTTTGTGTGGCTTTTTTGTGCTGGGGACCCAAGGCCTCAAACCTGGGTCTCGTCCACGTTGCAAACTAGCAGCATTTGTACAGAAAAGCTCTTCCCCCGAGGTATGAGAGGTCATGTTCCTAGGCTGGGTTGGAATTCCCTATATTCAAACTTCATCTTGAAACCTTCCACAAAGAAATGTAGGTTAAATCACTTGAGATCTGATAGTTATTCAGTGTCCTTCCTAAAATTCCTCTGGAGGTTGGTGAGAACTGAACCTAGCTGGGGAGAGAATCAAGAGGCATGGCAGCAAGGAGAGCCACAGGCTCTCCCAGGCACATGAAGGCAGGTGGTGAAGCAGTCATAGTGCTGGTAGAGCTTTGCATGTGTCTGGAATAAACAGATCCAGTCAGCATTCTGCTAACTGCTTCTGACAGAACTTGGACCTTACTTAACCCTTCAGCTATGACTCTGGTGTAATCAACTGTTGTTCAGGTAACAAGATTGCAGCCTAACATTACTGTGATATTAATGCTACTTTTCATTGGCTGGAGTAGTGATAATCATATTCAACTCTGCACATTTTTTACCTCAGTATACTGACTCATAGTCTGTATGCTAGGAAAATTAGGGACTTAATGGTTGAACAGCAGTATTTCAGCTGAGGAAAACGTGATAGAATTGTGGATAATTGTTTTGAGAGAGATTAATTTTCTGTACGTAAATATTTAAATATATGTCTAGGAAGAATACTGTGCTAACAGTTAGGGTATACTCAGTCTCTCAGAGGCACGTCATTTCTTAAAAACCGAGTTATAGAACTGTTTGGGGCTCATAAAATAACATTTTTCTTTTAAAAAAATTAAATACTTACACATATGCTCATGGAGTTAATATTCAGTTGTGTTCACGCTGTGGAAAAGGGAAACGGGACACATGATACGTTCTGCTGATGAGCTGACTAAGTATAAAGTCACAGGAGCAGGGAAGTCATCAGCTAGCTAGCTGCAGGCATTGCTGAGGTCAGGCGAAAAGTACATTTTGCCCTCTGACACCTAGGCCTGTGCTTGCTCTCTGTTACTCACACGTGTTATTCACCGTTGAATAATGTTATCCATGATTTGGTTTCAGCGATAAAACCACTAACATCGAAGACAAAGTAGTTACCAGTGCTGTTTTCTTTCAGAAGAGAACTACTGTTATCTAGCTGACTTCGTCTCTTCTGCGTTGTTAATTGGTCTTGTGCTGCAGACTGATAGTGTTGGAAATTTTATGTAGCATTTTAAGCTTCAAAAATGAACAGGAGCGGTTGAGCACAGAGCTCTATGTTGTATTCCAGGTGCTGAGATTTTTAGGGAAAGTGCTTTTTACCCTTCAGACTACAAAAGTGGCACTAAATGAGTAGTCTGAAGGAGAAAGCAGTTTCTGAGTTTAAAGAAACTGCCTTGTCATCAAAACGGAACTTAACTCTTGCTATTGAGACAACTAGGTAGCAGCTGTGTGGAATGGTTTGTGTTTTGTGTAAGTGCTTGTTTCTGTTGTTGATTTCTTTGTCTTGTCTTTGACAGAGTTTAAAACCAGGAGCAGGTCCTGTCAGGTGCATCTTAAGGTTAATGTAGACTTTCTCCTAGGTCCAGCCCATTCAGTAGTGACCTTTGATGGATGTGCTTACTCAGTAGTGCAAGATGACTTTTATTGTATGTTTGGCAAGGGTTGGTATTTATTCCAGTTGAAGAAACACTAGGCTGGTGCTCGGCGACTTGATTTGTGACGAATGAACAGAATTCTCATAGGTTAGGGAGAGTTTTCTGCCTTTGCCCTCAGAAGTTGCTTTGGTTAGAAGAAAAGTCAGCAAGTTTAATGTACTTTTGGTGAGTCTAAATTCTTTTAATGCTTCTAGAAAACTTGTGACAATTACAGTGTTGTAAAGTCCACTGTGATAAATGACTTTTTTTCAGCATTTCATCTGTATTTCTGAGTAAGGAAAGCTTTAAGTCCAGATAAGTAAGTCAAGCTTGTTTGTTTTACTTACTGGAGCAAGATAAAAATACGTAGTACAAAAAAGATCAATTAACTGATCATTAATTACAAATTAAATGTCATCGTGTCTTCTGTTAATAGCTGTGTGAACAAAGTAGTTGTTTTGAGCAAGACTTTCAAAAATAGTAAGGTGACAGAAATCAGAATGTACCTTTTATATGGACAAGGAAGAGTATAGTAAATGCAGAGATTCTAGTAGTGATTTATAGATGTTTCAGCAACTATTTCAATCAAGTTATTAAAGCTCATATACATATTATTTGTATATGGAGTTTTGAGAAATTGAAACTGTGTTAAGTACATGTTGTTAATATGCAGTCAACTCCAGAGAGAGAAGTATTCAGAAGTATCACTCCCTTAATCCTTTTACAAGGGTAACTTTGGTTTGTGCACCACTCATTTGCCTTCTATACTGTTTCTTCTGTCCTGCTGGGAAATCTCATTGGACAAATTGAATCTTCTCTGATACAGAAGAACATAGTGTGTGGGGTCCCATTGGGCGTAAACTGGAAGAAAAAGTTGCATCTAGAAGTATGATAAGAGCTACTTCTAACAAGTATAGTACATCTTTAGAAAGAGAATTGAGAAGGAAAGAGAAGCTGGTTTGGGGAGAGCTGTGCCCCTGAAAAAGATGTAAAACTGTTGAATATTTACAGTGACTTTGGAGTACCTGTTTACTATATACAGAAGCTAAATATTAGAATAAATACTGTTTCTTTGCTTTCATTCTGAAAACCTTGAGTTATATACGTGGCACTAGTGTATTGTACTATCTTGTATTTTCTGAGATTTGCTTGGTGTGATTGAAACATTGTAGTTAATTAGGCTGTTTTTTTAAAGTACTAAAGAGCTGTGAAACTGTAGCTGTTTCTTAGCTTGGTAGCTGTACTAAAGCCACCAAACATAAATTATGCACACATCCATTCTGTACTGCTGTGGGTCTTAAATATTGGATGAGCTTTTCATTACTTCACTGGTTAGCTTTTCAAAGTGTTTTCATGTATTCTGTGTAACAATATTTTTTTTTTTATTGTTGTTCTGGGTTGTTCTGGTGACTTGTCACCTCTCTGTGGCTCAAATGTGGCTGAGATGTCTTGCCTTCCTTCAAACTATGTTCTACAGTCCAGAAAACAGTTATTGAGAAATCTGTATGAAGAGGATACATCTGATTTTGTTGTGTTATTGTGTCGTCTCTTATCACATTACTTCTGAAGAAGCTTTGGAATTAAAGCAAATGCTTAATTTCTAGTTATGTTAATTTGAGAGCTGAATATTTTAAAGGATTCACAATATAATTATCTTAATTACTGAGATCAAACAAAGATAGAAATACGATGGCTGCGCCAACAACATACAACTAAGATATCTCAGTTCAATATTAGTGCAGATACTTAGTCTTGGGTTTACTTTCAAGGGGTAGGAAGGGAATGTCACCAGAGCTTCAGTATATATTATGAAACTCTGGACTGTGTTGGACCTGTAATATATTATTTTAGCTTTAATTCAATTTTACATGGTTGCTGTCTATAATTTCTTGCTTGGTTTATGAACTGCAAACACTGGAAAAGACTAATGATTAAACTGATATTTAAACAGAGTAATCTTTGGTTTTAATTGCCTGGTGTAATTAACAAAATCAGATTTATTTTTTTTTTTTAACAAAAAAATAAAAGTAGACTGAGCACATCTAGGAACCATTCTGCTTTTTGGTAGCTTTCAATTCCTATTTGGATGTAATTCCCAATCCTTATTTGGACCTAAGTGAGATAATAATTTAGTTGTTTTAAAACATTTCCTATTACCTCATTCCTTAGCATGTCTGGTTTTTAGCTGGCTCTTATATAAAAAGCCTTTGAGTAATTTGGCATCTAAAACCGCGCAAAACACGCTGACATTTTGGTGATCTGTGTCAAACCTTCGGGCCTCTTCTCTTTCTCCAGTATGTGAGAGGCGATTGCGCTGTGGGATAGAGAAGGGCGATGGCGGGCAGTAACCAGCTCTGCATCCGGCGCTGGACCACCAAGAACGTGGCCAGGTGGCTGAAGGAAGAGGGCTTCTGCGAGTACGTGGACGTTCTGTGCAACAGGCACAGGCTAGATGGAATAACACTACTGACGCTTACCGAGTATGACTTACGATCCCCTCCTTTGGAAATCAAGATCCTGGGAGATATCAAGAGGCTGATGTTGTCCATCCGCAAACTGCAGAAGCAGCACGGGGATGTCCTGGAGGAGCTGGGCTACAACAGCGAGAGTCACGTCGGCACGGTGTGCCCGAGCCTTGGGCTGCTGCAGAGTGCAGACTGGTTCTGTAATGGTGAAGTACCTCGGGACTATGATGGACCCATCACTGACTTGAATGGTGATCAGTATCAATACGCCAATGGCAAAAACAAGCACTCTGCTCGAAGACTGGACCCGGAGTACTGGAAGACAATTTTAAGTTGTGTGTACGTCTTCATAGTGTTTGGCTTCACGTCGTTTGTGATGGTTATAGTACACGAGCGAGTACCCGACATGCAAACGTATCCGCCTCTGCCGGACATATTTCTAGACAGGTAAGAAGTTTTCTTTCAAAACAAGATAGCAACTTGATGGCTCAAGTGTAGGCTGTCCTTTCTTTGTTATCAAAGTTTCATACGCTCTGGAAGATGCCTCTGCAAAATAGTAATTAGAGTATGGTAAACCCTTCTGCTGAGATCGAAATGTACATCAGTTAGATGCAAAAATCTAGTTGTCTTGGGGAAAATAAATTGAGCTGTTGTTCTACCCAGTTTATATTTCAATCACAACACAGGAGTTCATCCATCCTCTCATTCTAGTAGAGACAATGAAGGTCAGTGGGCATAGATAAGCAGCCGCATCCTTTTTCTGAAATATAGATACTGCTATGAAGCTTAATATGTTTTGATTCAGAAAAACTTTTGATGAAGGAATATTTTGGTCTGTCAGTGACAAAGAAATGGAAAGGGAATAGTATTGATACTATATTTTTGCTTTCTCCCCACTGTCAACTTGTTGAAGAAGGTTTAAGGAAACTTTGAAGTACACTAAATAGATCTTGTTTGATGGTAGAGTACCTGTGTACTAAAACGCTCTTGTGAATTAGGGACATGGTTTAAGGGGGGACTTGGTACTGTTAGGTCATTGGTTGGACTCCATGATCTTAAAGGTCTTTTCCAACCAAAACAATTCTATGATTTTGTGACTTATGTGGTACTTGCTCATTTTTAAACGAGAATATTTCACGTAAGGCTGAAAAGAGCCACAATAACAAAGGTGGAATTCTAGTTGTGGACTACAGGTTTAACAGATGATAAATGATCCCTTTGAGGAACTGTACATGCACTATAGAGAACTTAGTGGTTAGAGAGGTTTAAAAGACAAGGTGAACTGTTGTAAAAATTCAGTCTTTGTGATCTCCTTATTCCTGCCAGTAATTTCCATTTTCATTAATGGTTTTCATGAAGTCAGTAGGAGTCAAGTCTTCTGAGTACATGTGGAGACCCCCCCAGTCCCCACCGTAAATTTGGATTTAACTCAGCAAGGATGGACCATATCCAGCAGAGTAGAAGAGGGGAGAGAGAATGGGAGCTATGGCATTGTGGGATTTTGTACTCATAATGCACTACCAGGGCATTATGGGCCTGGGCACTACCATGGCATTCAGTGGGCAGGAGGATGGGGGAGGTCAGAAAGCCGCAGCTCACAAAACAATGCAAGGGAATTAGTACAAAGCTGGCATTTGAGCAGGGCTTGGCTATCCCCTTGTGCCAGTGGGAGCACAAAACTGTGAAGAGCAGCCTCTCCAGATCTGTCAGTCTGCATTTTGGTGAACACAGAGCAGAAATTGTTACTTAGCTCTATGTGTTCAAGAAGGTCTCAAATCTTCAGACAGGGAAGGCTAAAAGGTTTGTGACTACCACTGAAATCTAACGTTGAAAACAATCTTTATTTATCCTAGCACATTTCTGTGCAGTTCTGCTTCATTCAAGTATGTAGGATTTTAGGCTTTGCAGTATTTCATTATTTGTGTTGACATGGCATTCTTAGAAGCATATGCAGTGTAAATGGCATGATGCAAGTTTGTGTCAGGATGAAAAAAGGTTGCTGGGAAACAATGATAGAGGAACACATCCTGTTAGTAAGTCACATGCGTAAAGTAAGAGAGCGTACTAGAGATT